TTTAGTAATATAAACGAAGATAGTAACTAAACCGGCGGATATAATAAAATCGACTAATAGGACCTATATACTAACTAATATAGCTATATAACCTAGTATCTAATATAAATAGAATAAAGGATATAATATAAAGATTTAAAGAGTTATTACTACTTTAAGGAAAGACCTTAAATAAATTAATAAAGAGCTTAAGTTAAAAGAAACTAGCTCTTAAAAAAAAGAATAAAGCCTATAATATAAAATAAAGAATATCCCCTAAGAATACCGGAAATATAATAAACTCTTTAAGGAAGAACTTAAGATAGGGTTACCTAAATATAGCTAATAAGACTACGAAATTTATCTTAAGGATAGAATAACGCTAACGTTCTATAAGATCTATAACCTAAATAAAAAGCAACTATAAACGCTACGCGACTACCTTAATAAGAATCTATAAAAGAGATATATACGAATATTAATATCTAAAGTAGGCTACTTAGTTATATTTATTTTAAAGAAAAACGGTAAGCTATAACTAGTTATTAACTATAAACGCTTAAACGATATTATAATAAAGGACCGAATACTATTACCGCTTATATTAGAACTATAAGATCGACTATATAGTAAAAAATAGTTTATAGCCCTTAACCTTAAAGGCGCCTATAACTTAATACATATAAAAAAGGGATATAAATAAATAATAGCCTTTAAAACGAAATTCGGACTATTTAAATATCTAGTAATACTATTTAGACTTATAAATATACTAGCTACCTTTTAATAGATAATTAATAATATCCTATACGAATACTTAGATATCTTTATAGTAGTATACCTAGATAATATCCTAATCTTCTTAGATACCCTAGAAGAATATAAGGAATACGTCTATAAGGTACTCCGCGTACTTTAGAATATAAAGTTACTAGTTAAACTAAAGAAAAGTAAGTTTTATATATAAGAAGTAGACTTTCTTAAATATACGATCTTATTAAGAGAGATATAAATATAATAAGATAAGATTAACTTAGTTAAAGAATAGCTAATATTAAAGAACGTTAAAGATATATAAAGTTTCTTAGGATTTATAAATTACTACTAACGATTTATTACAGATTTCGGAAAGATTATAGTACTACTATACGACTTAATAAAGAAGGAAAAAGAATTTATATAAGATAATAAAGCTAATAAAGCTTTCGAATATATTAAGACTACGATTATATAAGAACTAGTCTTAACTACCTTTAATCTAAAATAATAAATTAAACTTAAAACCGATATATTAAACTTTACTTTAAGAGTATAAATCGGATAAAAAGATAATAAAGAAAGACTACGACTAATTATATTCTACTTAAAGAAGCTATATAGTATAGAACTTAATTACCCTATCTATAATAAAGAATTCCTTATAATTATTTAAGCTTTTAAGGAATTTTAATACTACCTTCTTAAAAGTAAATATAAAGTTAAGGTCTATATAGATTATAAGAATATATTATATTTTATAATAACGTAATAGTTAAATAGATAATAGACCTAATAGGCCGAATATTTATTAGAATTCGACTATAAAATAATCTATAAAAAAGGAATAAAAAACGGTCGAGCTAATACCCTTAGTCGACGAAGTAACTATAATATAGGAGCACCTATAGCGAAAGGATAGCTCCTAGAAATCAACGAAAATAGGAACTACTAGCAACGATAGCTAAATATAATATTTAAATATAACCTAACGACTTAATATACTAAAAGATCCTAAAATAGATAAAAGAATATAAAGTATTAAACGGATATAATATAGAATATTTAAAAGTTTTAATATATAAAAATAAAATCTAAATACTACTAAAATTATAAGATAAAGTTATATAAGATATATATAAATATTTAATATATAGATACTAAGGAATCTAAAGAATAATAAAACGGATTAAACGATAATATAACTTCCTATAGCTTAAAGAAGTAGTACGATAAGTTATTAAAGAATATAAACTTTATATATAAAGTAAAGCTAAATAATATAAACTATATAAAGAATTATAACCGCTACTAATACTAGAAAAACTATAGGATTTAATAGCTTTCGACTATATTATAAAGCTACTACTATTAAAAGAACCTATAACTAACGTTAAGTATAATAGTATATTTGTTATTACTAATAGACTAACGAAGTATAGATACTTCTTACTATATAAAGAAGTAAGTAATATAAAAGAGCTAGTATATATATTCCTATAAATAATTATTAGTAATTATAGACTACTAAACGAGATTATCTTTAATAAAGGAAGTATATTTATAGCTAAGTTTTAGTAAGCTCTTATAGTATAATTAGGGACGAAATATAAGCTTAGTATAGCTTATTACCTATAAATAGATAGATAAATAGAACGACTTAACTAAACGCTTAAATAATATTTATAATACTATATTAGTTACGAATAAAACGATTAAGTTAAATAACTACTAATAGTATAACTAGCTTATAATAGCTTAGTTACGGAAATAACTAAGCTCTTACTAGTATACGCTAATTATAGATATAACCTAGAAGTATTTAAGGTTACCTAATAAGGACTATAAGCGGAATAAGCGATACTATAAGTAGATTAGCTACGAAAATTATATAAAGAAATATAATAAGAACTTTAATTTATTAGAGAATAAATATCTACTTACTATAATCGGAAAGGATTATAGGGACTAATCTTTTAAGAGGGAGATATAGTCTACCTTATACGACGAAATATTAAAATAAAATAACTAAGTAATAAATTAGATTTTAAGAAACTTAGACTATTTAAGGTTAAGAAAACTATTTTAAAAGTTAACTATAAACTTTCGCTATTAACGATAATATAGATATACCTAATATTTTATATCTTATTATTAAAACTAGTACTATAAAACGCTAAACTATAGGAAAAATTCGAAGTTAACGATAATTAAGAATATAAAGTAGAATAAATACTAAATATAAGAAATTAAGGTTAGTAATAAGAATACCTTATTAAGTAAAAGGATTATAGACTAAAAGAAAATACCTAGGAACTATTTAAGTACTTAACCTACTATAGTTCTTTACTTTAATAGTTCTATTAGTAAAATCTACCTTAAGTATCGTAAAATCGCTTAATAAACTAATAGCATTCTAATTAATTATATTAAATCTACCTATAGACTAAATATTAACCACCGCTTTAGATTCTTAGCGCTTAGCCTTATTAAGGTTATCTAAGGAATAAAGGCCTTAACGAACTATCTCGGTACCCTTTATCTTTAGCTAGCGCTTTTAGCGGCGAAGCCGCGCTAAACGAGCTAAGGCTTCGTTTAGGTCGGCTTAAGCTTTTAATATTCGCTCCTTAGCAATTTCTTCTTTTTTATCTAGTCGATCGGACTCTAGATTTATTTAGGATACTAGGAAATACATTAGCTATAAATAATAAGTAGGATAACGAAGTTACCTATAGGAGTTAATCGCTACGCCTAACGTATTATAGGAACGACCCCGCTATATATATTCGGTATACTTAGAAGATTTCTCTAGTATTTTATAGCGGAAGCTATACGACGAATAAAAAGAATATAGTATAACGTCGAAACTAAGATAATTAATAGACTTAGCTAAACGAATACGCTTAAGGGTCTTATAAGAACGATCCTTCGATATACGACTAGATATACTATTAGTAGTATATCCTAAGGGATAGAAAGGACGAAATAGGGAATATATATACGCGCGATAAGGGTATATTTATATACGGCGGCTAAGGCAGTAGTAGGTCTTATAGATAAGACTAAAAGGAGGGGAGATATTATATTATAACTACGGCTAGCGGGCTATAGGAGAGCTAGCTATGTTTACGTAATAAGGCGGCTTAGAATAATAGTCGGGATAAGAAGTTACTTAGGCTTAGCTTACCTAAAGCATACGTAAGCTAAGTAAGCCTTATATAGATAGATTACTACTTAGGAGTATAGCTTACGAGTAAGCTATAGTAAGCTATAAAGGGGATTATAGCTAGAACTATAATCTAAGGATAGACTTTATAGGTATATATAGCTACTTACTTTTACTTCTTTAGATAGATAGCTCTCTAGCTTTTAATATAGATCTTTATTACGATTCTATCTTTAATTCTAATTACCTAGTTATAGTCTATAGTCTATAACCTCTAACTTATTACTAACGTAATATACTTATTATTACTTAGACTACGCCCTATTATATCTACTAATATAAACCCCTCGATAGGTTTATCCCTTAGGAATAATACTAGTCGTTATAATAAGGGTTTTATTTAAGTAAGTAGCTCTAAAGTAAGAGCGCCGGTCTTATTTATATATAAACTAAGGGGCGGGATATAGTTCTATTACGACTATAGGGCTCTAAACGTAATTACGAGGCTAGACCGCTACCTCTTACCCTTAATCTTAGATACGCTCTATAACCTTTTAAAGGCGAAGTAGTTTATAAAGCTAGATATAAAATAAGCGTTCTATAAGGTATAGATCTTAGAGGGTAATGTAACGGTCTCAACTGAGTGTGTTGACAACTAGCTGAGCGACTGCGACGAGTATCCTAAAGCTAAGGAGAAAAGAAGAAGAAAAGAAAAGAAAGGAAAGCTCTCGAAGATGGCACGAGCTTATAAGCGGAGCTCCGGTGGGTCTTGTCGAGAGCGGAGCCGAGACCCTCACGGGCTCAGCCCGTTACAATAACCCCTCCTTCCTCCCCGTTTCGATCGTTTCGATTGGGGTGGTTTCGATCCAACTTTCCCATGAACTTCTTCATACCTAGCCAGTGCTATTGTGTCTGCGACGTACTTGACTGGCTCCCACGTCGGACCTATCCATCCGACCCATTTCACCAACACTTTCCACTCTCCCGACTTTCTTCCTGTCCAGAATCTCTTCCACTTCCCACAGCTCGCCATCGTCCGTCAAAATGGCCGGTGGGCGGTAGTCATCCGACGTCTGTGACGGTAGCGGATCGTCCGCTGCTAAGCGTAAGAGCGACACGTGGAACACGTTGTGTATTCCGGAGGCGTGTCCAGCCTGCACGCGTGTGACCCAATGGTCTCCAGGACGGTGTACTTGGCCGACAGCCAATCGAGCTTCTTGGATGGCCGATTGGATCGGATGTTGCGAAGTCGCAGCCATACCTTGTCTCCAGGCTTGAACTGGTCTGACGGCTGTCTTCGCGAATTGGCGTTCTTCTCTTGCTGCTCTGCGCTGACGCAATTGCCGCCTGGGCCCATTCCGTTGCCTCTCGAAATCGTTGCACAATGCTTTCAGCCCTGGTCACTGGGGACCTTCCGTCCGTCCGTAACTTCTCCTTGACTTGTATCAGGTCAACATGATACCCATGCGTGATAAAGAACGGGCTCAGGCCTGTCGACGTCGAGTTGTGATTGTTGATGGCCATCATGGCCGCTGGCAACAGCTCTTCCCAGTTATCCTGAGCATAAGCAGCAAAGATCCTCAGATATCTCTCGACTTCCTGATTCGCCCTTTCTGTTGCACCGTCAGTCTCGGATGCCACGCCGTAGACAATCTTTGCTTCACGCGTAGCAGCTCGCAGAGCCTCTGCCATAGTCTACTGGTGAATTGCGTGCCACGGTCAGTGACGATCGCGCGCGGCACGCCATGGTGTTGCACCACGTTCCGTAGCAATGCTCTGGCCGTCGTCTCGGCCGTGATGTCCTTCAATGACTCAAGAACGACACTTTTGGACAGTCTGTCCGTCACGACCATAAGGTTGGTCGAACCGTTCGACTTGGTTGGTGGCAGGTCTGTCACAAAGTCAATTGACAGCTCCGACCAGATCCTGTCTGGAATAGGTAGCGGCTTCAATAAACCGCGACGCTTCTCTCGCCAAATGTTGCTTCGGCCACACACATCACAATTTCTCACAAATTGACGCACGTCTGAATCGAGGCCTGGCCAATAAAACTTGCGGCTCAACAAGGACTTCAGCATGTCCCGTCCGGGGTGTCCTGCAAGCGTTGAGTCATGCGTCTCCTGCATAAGCCGCGTGCGCAGGGGTTCGTGGTTCGGCACCCAAATTCGCTCGCCAGCAGAGCCGCTGTCCATCGTCAATCGAGCATTCCGAGAGCATCACGGGCAGTCCCCAATGCGACGGCAGACGCCTCTCGCCTTGCTGTACGGCCTTTCGGATGAGCCAATAACGATTGTGCTTGACACCTTCGTCCCATAACTTCTGCAGTTCCGGGTCCGAGAAAGGGTTTTCGATTGAGTCGTCTTGGTCAGTTGTTGCGTCATCGGGTTGATCCGTGTCGCCCTTGGTGACATAACCGCTCTTGACTTTTGTCACCAGGCCACCCTTGTTACGTTGCAGCAGCTGAACACGTCGTCCTTGCAACCGATCATCTTCGGCGCTGTGCGGCATGTCCTGTTCTCGTCGAGACAGCGTGTCCGGTACGACGGCTTCTTTGCCCGGTCGATGCTTGATGGTGAAGCTGTACCGCGATAGCGTCTCAGCCCATCGCGCCTGACGTTCACTCAGTTGCTGCTTCTGGTGAAGTAACGGAGGTTGAGATGATCCGTCAAAACGGTAAAGGACTTCACTCCTCAATTCGGCGTCCCAATGCTCAAGGCAGCGAATGATCGCCAGCAGCTCTTTATCGTGGATTGGGTAGTTGCACTCCGCCGGTGCGTTTTTCTTTGAGAAGAAGGCCACAGGCCGCATGATGCCGTCATCGCCCTTTTGCGAGAGCGCCCCTCCTGTGACATAACCGGATGAATCCGTCTCCACAATCGTCTCTCTATCCGGATCCCATTGCGCAAGGACCGGCGCACTGGTCAGAAGAGCCTTCAACTCCTCGAAGGCCTTGTCGCACTCCTTCGACCACGCAAACACCGCATCCTTCTTTGTTAACGCCGTTAGAGGCGCGGCGATGTTGGAGAATCTGGGAATGAATTGCCGGTAATAGTTGGCAAACCCCAGAAAGCTTCTGACGCCTTTGACAGAACGGGGTCGCTGCCACTGCTGAATTGCCTGCACCTTCTCCGGGTCCACGCGGATACCTTCCCGGCTTCGACGATGAAGCCCAGGTACTTGACACTCTTTGCCTCAAAGTCACACTTGTCGATATCAATCTGCAGGCCTGCATCTCGCAGTCGAGCAAGGACCTGCCTGACTTTGTTGCGATGATCTGCGAGCGAACCGCTCGAGTAGATCAAGATGTCGTCAATGTAAGCGGAACAGAACTCGTCGAGGAAATCTCGCAACGTGTGGTTTATGTAACGCTGAAACGTTGCGGGAGCACCCGTCAACCCGAATGGCGTGACAAGCCATTCGTAGAGTCCGTAACGTGTTCTGAATGCTGTCTTCCACTCGTCTCCTCCTCGACGCGAATCTTGTGAAATGCTGCGATAACGTCAAGTTTGGTGAGCCACTTGGCCTTGGACAGCGACCGCAAAGTTTCCTCGATCAACGGCAAGGGATATCGGTCTTTCTTGGTGATCGCATTCAATCCTCGATAGTCCACGCAAAAGCGCAGACCACCACCGGGCTTCCTCACGAACAAAACTGGTGCTGACGCTGGAGAACTACTTGCTCGAATGAAACCCTTGTCGAGTAGCTCAGTGAGAGTCTTTCGCAGAACAATGAGCTCTTCTCGTGACATGCCGTACAATGGTCCCCACGGCGGTTCTTTCTCCTTGTCATCAGGACCTCTCTAACTGAATCTTGTGATCACACCCCGGACGACGCGGTGGGAGTTGGTCCGCTTGGTCGCGGTCGAAGACGGATAGGTACTCGTGGTAGTGACGGGGCAGCTTCTCTCTCGGGTCTGACTTCTTCCTCGGAGTCAATGCCTTCTCAATGTCTTTCAGGCTTGCGGCGAAGATCCGCACTCCATCGTCTCGATGCTTGAACTTTCTTGCTCGGCGAACCATTCCGGCGAACACGAACGCCGCCTGTCCTCGTATGTTGCACCGTTCCTCCTCCTTCGGGTCTCGGCCTTTCACCCAATGGTCGTGCGTCCCGATATGCAAGAGGTTCTGCGATAATCGCAAGGTGACATCCTCCTGGTTCAACCACTTCTTGCCCAGAATCACAGGATCGGTCTGGTCTCGCACAACGTAGAAAAAGCTCTTTCTTCTGGTACCCGTCGATATCGAAGTCGAAGTAGGTCACGGCACAGATGGCCTCGGGTGAGAATGTGTTGACCTGCTCCAACGCTCGAGGTTTAATCGGAATACGCGGCAGGTGAAGCTTGCGGGCAAGGCGCTCACTGATGGTCCCATAACACAGGCAACCACAGTCAACGAAGGCCGTGGTGAAATACTCGATTGATACCGAAATTTACGTAGAGGCCTTCACAGTCCATCTCGTCCTTCTGAGTTGCCCATTCCGCCTCAGCCTTTGCGCGCTCCTGACGGCGATTTTCGTCAGGAGCTACTCGTTTTCCGAATGGTCATCGGAGGTATCCCCGCTAGAACTCTCCGCGGGCTCTTGGTGCTTTGCTCGAGCTTCTTGTCTTCTCTTCGACACGGACCTTGACTCTCTGCTGCCGCCGCTCCTTCCCGGGACACTTGGCCGCAAGATGGCCAAGCTTCCCGCACTCGTAACATTTGCGCTCCTCCAACGGAACAAATTGCTTTTCCTCCGGGGCCCTCCTGCCGTTTATCAACCGATTTGCTTTCACGGGTTCCCAATCCATCTGATCATCGGACGGGGACGACGTGGTTGGCGATCCGGGTGACGGGGCTTTGTCGGGACTCGAGCGGTTCGGATAAACGACCATACTCCTTTCTTGACCTCTGCTCGCGGCCTTGTTGTCGTTGGTGGAAATTGAGGCTATCTAGGCGCGAGCCAATCGTCAAGAGTAGCTCGGCGTAGCTGTTGAAATCCTTCGGGAGACTGACGGCACTGACGAGACTCGACTTGAGCCTATTATTAATTGCTCCTTCCAAGTAATTGATTTGCACCACGTCGGCCCACTCGCCACCGCCACTATCGGCAAGCTCTTCTCGAACTTTGGGAAGAAACTGGCGAAACTCTCATCAGGCTTCTGCTTCAACGATCGAAGTCGATCCAGTGCTCGTGCCTTTGCGTTCGGGTCCCCGTACCGACGGTTCAAGTAGTCGAGAAACAGATCTGGGGAGCGAGCACCATCGATACCGCCCTGTTCGTAATAAGCAGCGGCCATGTTCTGGGCTGTTCCCGCCAACCGGGAGTACACATAGGCGAAGAGTGCTTCTTTATTGTCGAATGCCTGTCGGTCCACAGCCAATTTCGCTTTCATCTCTAAGAACCAGGGACGGAAGTTTTTCCTGGTTCCATCGAATTTCGGCGGATCAGGCAAGGTTGGTTTTACCCTCTTTGATGGGATTCTTTCGGATGTCTCGATCGATTGAGGCGTGTTGTCGGACATCGGTTCGATAGGAGCGACTGGTTCATTTGCCGGAGTCGGAGTTGAGACGGCTGTTTGGAGGATTCGGATCTGCGATCGCATCTCTTCGCGTTCGGCCTCTTGGCTTGCACACACTTTCTAGTTTGTCCATCACTGCAGCCAGGGCTTGCATCATCGATTGAGGCTCAAAAGAACCTTGCTGGGAATCGATTGCCTCCATGACTGAAGATTTTCTCCTCGTCTCTCAGGACTGAGGGCGACTTGATCACACAGCAAGTCTGATACGGAAGGGATATCTCGACAACGGTCGAACGCTATCAACGCCTCGAAGGCTCCTTCCTACACGGCTGGACGTTCTGCACAGGGCTTCTAGTCCAGCTGCTGCCGTCCACACTGGGAGCCAAGCAGCAATCACGTACTTCTCGCTCAACCGCACGCCGTACGGAGAGCAGATTGACGCTCCACGTCCTTTGCTCGGGAGATGAGAGCTACGCGACGCGAGCCAAGCTGGCTTTGGCGCCGTACACACACGCACTTTCGTCGCGGGCGTTCCACACAGGATTGCCCAAGCTACTGCCACTCCGCGTACCCACAAAGGGAACTGAACAGCGCTGCCAATTGATTGTGATCAAAGGCTTTAACGATGAAAGCGGAGCTTTAGGATAATGTAACGGTCTCAACTGAGTGTGTTGACAACTAGCTGAGCGACTGCGACGAGTATCCTAAAGCTAAGGAGAAAAGAAGAAGAAAAGAAAAGAAAGGAAAGCTCTCGAAGATGGCACGAGCTTATAAGCGGAGCTCCGGTGGGTCTTGTCGAGAGCGGAGCCGAGACCCTCACGGGCTCAGCCCGTTACAGGTAATAAGTAAAAGATAGCGTTTTATATATACTATAGCTTATTTAAGTAGCTTATAACGCCCTTTAGCCTCTTAAGAGCGCCCGCTACCTTCTAGTATTATATTAATAACGTACTTTAGGACTTCCTCGATAAGTTCGCCTTTATATATATAGATAATATCCTTATTTATATAAACGGCTCTTATAAGGACTATATATAGAAAGTATAAAGGGTTCTAAAGCGCCTCTAACTTTATAGGCTCTACCTTAACTTAGATAAGTATAAATTTAGGGTTAAGAGGGTTAAGTACCTAGGCTTTATTATCTACGTAGGCGTAAGTATATAGGCGGATCCTATAAAGATCTAAGCGATCTAAGACTAAGCGGCCCTAACTATATAAACGGGCGTATAAAGCTTCCTTAGGTTCGCGAACTATTATTCTCGCGAAGAGAGATACGAGAAGTATATAAAAATGCACGAAGGTAAAATTAAAAGTAAGGGGTCGGATAGGCAGGGCAGAGAGATTTGATTCTTACGGGAGCAGCAATTAAGGCAGGGGAGTGATTGTTATATTGCCTTAATTGTCCTTCTTTTCTCTATCTAACGCCCCTCTTTATACCCGTCTAGCATCTTAATTAACAAAGAAGATCCTACTTAAAGAAGCTACTAATATCCTTTCGACTACCGAGCTTTTTACCGGTTTTTCCCCTCTTTTCTAGCCGTTGCCGGCATATCCGTCTTATCTTTCGCTACCTCTATAGGAAGCCATCGCTACTTCTGCTTCCCCTTATACCCCTACCCTCCTTTCTATACCTCTTTTTAGCTCCTTCTTCCTTCTTCTATACTAGGTATTTTTAGCTTCCTTGGTCCTTTATGCTAAGGGATATCTCCGAGAACTACGAAATTAGGCTACGCTTCGCGATATACCCCCTTAGCTATGGCCTGCCCCTTAAGGGCATAGCTAATACGGCTTCGGGCTAGTAAGCGTATAGAGGAGGTTTTAGTCTATACTTATCCCCTACTTAAGAAATCCGGGTTTTAGCCTTAGGCTCTTTTAGACCTACTTTAGGAAAAGGGGCCTAAGGAGGAAATTAAGTCCTATAAGAAAGGGGGGCTTCTCTAAGGATAAGTCCCTAAAAAGGGGGCTTAAGAAGAATAAGTCCTAATTAAGCTAGGGGCCTCCTTTAGGATAAGTCTTAATTCCTCTCTTCGCATAGACGTCTCCTTCCTCCTACGTGCTATTAGCTCCTCTCGTAGACTCTTAAGGCGGGCTTCTAAGGATAGCTTTTCTCGAACGTCTTCTAGCCTAATTTACTATAAAAAGACAGCTAGCTTCTACTTTAGTAGGGGCTTCGTAAGACCGTCGGCTTTTATCGATGCCGTTAGAACCTAACGGACGGAAATAAGTCCCCTTTAGACCTCTTAGCGTAACTAATGCTAGTAGATATTAATATACCGTAGCCGGGTCGATAGCTTACTATTTTCCTCCGTAAGAATTTATATAGTCTGCGTGTTATCGCATTCTATAGCTAATAGGGACGGAATTTATAGTCGTAATAATATTAGTAGCTAGCTAAGGAAAATCGCTTCTTTTAACGCTTTTAAAAGAGCTAGTAGCTCTGCCTCTATACTAGAAGTCGTAACGGTAGCTTACTTTAAAGCTCTCTAAGCAATAGTTCCTCTAAAAAGGGATATAATATACCCTTATAAGCTCTTTCTATCTAAGGAATTGTCTATAAAGGACGAATCGCTCGAATAAAGGAAGATTTCGGCAGCTGATTTCCTTCCCTGCCCTCCTAGGCGTAGACTATATAATCTCGTTAAATAGAGATAAAGGATAGCTCTGTCTGCTGCTTCTTAATGCCTAGGGCTAGGATTCTAGTTATGCTTAGCTAGCCGGGAGACCGTAAAAGAGATATCCGGTCTAGTAGAAATAGCTAAAAAAAGCAGGGAGCCTACCTTCTATTAATATTAGTGTTTCTCTTGCTCCCTAGCTTAAAAGGACGGATTAGGTAAAAGCTCTTCGTTTAATATAGGCGTAGAGGGAAGCTTCTTATCGAGGGAATTAAGGAGGAATTTATAAGCGACCTTATCGATATAGGCGTCTTAGGTAAGCTAGATAGTCTATTAGGACCTATTCCGAAAGATTCGTATCCCTAGGAACCACTTTAGCTCCCCTAGCCTAGTTATCTTATACCTTTATTATAGGCCTCGTATAGCCTCCCTAGCAGTAGCCTCTTCCTCTTTCGGGTAGGCCTAGATAATATCGTCGACGTAGAAGAAGACCGTGATTTTACCCTTCTATATTATATACGGTTCCTAAGGGACTTTCTTAAAGCCTAGGGCTTCGAGGGAACCTATTAAATACTGTTGCTAAAGAAGGGGTAATCTTTATAGTCCGTATAGAGCTTTCCTAAGCCATAGAACCTTTCCTAGTTATTAGAAACTAGGAGGAAGTCGTATATAGATAACTTCTTCTTCCTTAAGTAGGCAGTTAATAAAGGCGTTAACTATATCTATCTAATCGAGTTCGAGGTCGAATTCTGCTACTATAGCTATAAGGGTCCGAAAAGACATCCCTGCTAGGGTGGTTGCCCTAGTAGGTAGATCCCCTTTTTCCTATTAATTCCCGTAGATAACTAGCTAGGCTTTGCACTTCTAAAGGAAGCCGTGTTTATTAGTCTTATAGATAAAGACCTACTTA